CTTAGCTGTAGAGGGCAGTGTCTCTGGCCCTCATATGTGGGATCCGAACCGGGGCCCTCTGGCGTCCCAAGCCAGCTCTTAACCAACGTGCCACTCGGTCGGCCCACATTTTTAAAGCTGTTGCACTTTAATCCTTAATGTGGATATTCCTAGGTTTTTAAAAATGCCATTTTGTTTATCGTCATGTAGATGATTTTCAGTGCGTTGTACTATAGCCGTGTCTTTTGCATCCCTCCCTGTGCTCCTGTGTGAGGGCTTTTCTGGGAAAGATCTAAAGAAGGACAAGGCACTGCCGGGTCGTAGTGTATGCCTGAGAAATGTTCAACAGATTTTGCCTAATTGCTCTCCAAAGTGGTGGGGCAGCTCCTCCCACCAGCAATGATTTTCTTCTACCCTCCCACATGTGTTGGCTTTTCCACTCCCCAAGTCACCAAAGTTCTCCACAACCCCCACCCTTATGACCTTCCCTTGCCATTCTCTAAGAAGCAGCAGAACTAGGTCTTTTATAATCCAACCCACGCTCCCAAGCTACCCCTCTTCATATGTCAGCTGCCTCCCCATTCTTACCCTCAAGTAGAAGAAGCACCCTGGTCCCATCAAAGGCCACCCTCCAGATATGCTCTGGACCCAGTCCTTTGGCCATTTAACAAGTTTGTCCCCGCAACTATCCCTTTCCAGTTCTCTTATCAACCATTAATATGTTCCTTTTTTGGTTGGACAGTTCTCATCACCATACAAACATCTAGTAGCTTGACCCATACCTGATTATCTCCCCATTTACTCTCACAGCAAAATTTCTCAAGCGCATTGTCTACACTCAATGTGTGCACTGACTTCCTCACTTCTCTGTGCCATGACTTTTGTCAGAGACCTGGGCTTGACCCCCAGAGACTTTTAAAAGTCATGGCCTGTGTCCCTCCCCCTCCCCCGCCCCATCAGCTGTTGAAACTATTCCAGCCAAATCAGATAGGCCCTTTTCTAACCCCACCTCTCAGCCACATTCAACAGGGGTGAACTTTCTCTTCTAGAGCTACCTCCCCTCCTTCCAACTTCAGAAACCGCACTATTTTCATTTTCCTTCTGGCCTAGCTAATTCCCTCGAGCTGAGCCCTCCTTTGAGCCTGGTGGTGGACCCTGGGGGCTCCATGCTGGGTTCTCTTTTCTTTTCCATCTACACTGATATCATTCTATCCCATGGCTGTAACATGACTCACATTAATATCTCTCACCTGAACCTTTCCACCAAGCCCAAGACTCACATATACTTGGCATCTTTATTTAATGTGTCTAATAGTCAAAGTTAACATGCTTAAAACAGTACTTTCAATTCACTACCCCCTCCAGAAGAAAACATCTCTCCCATCTCAGTCAATAGCACCATCATTCACCAAAAAACTAGAAATCATCCCTGGTTTCTCTCCCTTTTCTTCTCTGCTACCATTATCCTCCCCACTATCTCCAGTCAAATCCAACCCCACCTTCCTTACAAACTCCTTTGCTCTCATGCTAGTTCAAGCCAACATCCTTTCTGGCTTGGACGATGGCAACAGACTCCTAGCTGTTCTCCCAGCGTCTATTCCTGGCCTCTACAGTCCATGCTCCACAGAGTGGAAATTAGAGAATGTCATTCCCCTCTTCAAAACCTTCCTTTGGTTTTTCAGTGTAGTGCCCTTAGAATAAAATCCAAACTCCTTACCATAGCAAGGTCCTCTATCGGTTTTCAACCCTGGCTATACATCAGAATCACCTGGAGAGCTTAAAAAGAAAATAGAACTCTCAGACCCTCACCCTGAGAAATTCAGATTTAATTGGCCGGGCTTGAGACCTAGGCATTTATATATTTTAAAACTCCCCAGGTGATTCTGAGTTTAAAATCCCTGCCTAAAGAGATCCTGCCCCTTCCCTACCTCTCCAAACTCATCTTCAATTGTTCATCGCCTTCCTTCACTAAAGCACAGGCCTTCTTGCATTCCTTTAACATGCCAGATTTGTTTCCACCTCAGGGCCTTTGCACTTGCTCTTCCCATTTTCTAGAATGCCACTCCCAGACTATTTTGAGCCTGTGTCCTCAGTGATTTTGTTGAGCTGCTGAATTAACCAACCCTGGTGTCCTTGGCCATCTTTCTATTATATGTGTCTTTTGCTACTTGTAAGATCAAAGGATATTAACAATTTATCATACTCATATACTTTGCCAATTTTTTTTTCCTTTCTGCAATTTGTCTTTTAACATAATTTAGGGTGGTTTTTGCATGTTGACATTTTCCAGTTTTATGTTGTCAAGTCTATCATCTTTTTCCTTTATGGTATTTTACTTTTGGTCTTTCTTTAAAAAACTTTCATCACCCCAAGCTTATATATTTTTTTAAGTGCACTTTGTTTTCTTTCAGTACTTCCTTTTTATTTAAAATTGTGATCAAAACAGATTTGATTTGATTTTATTGGTGTAAGGAATGAAATAATTGTTTTTGGTTTTACTTTAGTTCAAATAGCTGGTCTCTTACACCATTTATATAAATTGATTCAAAATGCCATTTTCTTCATATACTAAATTCTCATATATAGAAATTGCATAGTTTGCAACAAAAATTATGTGTATTCATGAAGTAGCAGGGAAAACATGGGCCTTTAACAGGACACTTGTCCCTGATTGCAACAAAACTCATCCATCTCTAGCTCCCTGCATTGTGTAATACAGGCCTCTTTGACCAAAAAATATTTTTATAAAATATTGAAAAGTATATTCCAAAGCCTCCTGAGCAGAGTGTGCATATGTGTGAAAATATGAGTCACATCAGACCTCCAGAAGTGACCAACAGTGGGTGACAGTGATAGGCAAACAGGAGAAATAAGCACTTCCTGGGAAGTGAGCCACTTCTCAGCAGCCTGCAGTACAAGAGGTGGCAAACTTTATCTGTAAATGTCTGGGAGGTAATTAAGGCTTTGTAGGCCATATGGCTTCTGTTGAAACTACTTAACTCTGCTGTTACGGCACAAAAGCAACCAGACAGTACACTTACATAAATGAGTGAACATGAATGTATTCCAATAAAACTTTATGGACATTGAAATTTGAATTTCATTCACATCTTGGAAGGCCAAATATAATGGCAAATGACCCCTGTTATGGATTGAATGTTTTTATCTCTCCAAAATTCATATGTTGAAGCCCTAATATCCAGTGATGATATTTGGAGGTAGGGCCTGTGGAGGTAATAATGTATAGATGAGGTCGTGAGGGTAAGTCAAGTCCTCATGATGGCATTAGAGTCCTTATAAGAGCTAATATTCTCTCCACCATGTGAGGACACATCAAGAAGATGGCTGTCTGCAAGCCAGGAAGAGGGGCCTCATCAGGAACTGAATCAGCTGGCACCTTGGACTTCCCAGCCTCTAGAACTGGGAGAAATGTGTCTGTTGTTTAAACACCCAGTTTATAGTATTTTGTTATAGCAACCCAAGAAGGCTAATATAACCCCCAAAGAATGACAAGTGACATAGCTATTTTGCCACCATGAGGAAGCCCACTTGGGATAAAGCTGCTCACAGACAGAAACCAAGTCCTTCATGATGGCCTTAGGGCACTGAATGCAAGCTTCTCTGACATGCACTCTGTCTTGAGACCATTATTGCACGACATAATAAATTTCCCCAACCTCTTTTTTTTTTTGGATCAACTTGTGTTTTCTGTCACTTGCTGAGTAAAGAGCATCCATCTGCAGAAGGGGTAAAAGGAAGATAAGTAGTGGGGAGGGCAGTGTCGGTCTTGGAGAAAGGGAGAAAAGCTTAGAATAGACCATTGGCCTCATGGTGTATTAGTCGGGACTGGGTGCAAATGACAGAAACCCATCTTGAGTGAGTTTAAGCCAAAAAGGGGGAAATTAATGACTTGGGGTGATTAATATTAATAAATATTGAGCACCTACTATATACTAGGCACTGTTCTAAGCACAAGGGTTACAAATTAGCACAAAATAGACAACATGGCTTTCATGGAGCTTAGATGAGCAAGTAAGCAAAATATATAGTATGTCAGATGGTGATAGGTGCTACAGAGAAAAGGCAGGGAAGGAAGATTGGGAATTGCTGGGGAAAGTGGTGCAATTTTAAACAGGTTATAAGGAGGGGTGCCTCACTGAAATTTTCAGGTAACATTTGAATAAGGACCTGAGGGGAGAAGGGACAGAGCAATATCCAAGTTGAAAATTTTTCTTGGTAGACTCAGCCTCAAAAAAGAAGGCAAGGGCAAGTTTAAATCCCTGAGGCAGGCGCATGTCTGTCCTATCAGAGGAACAGTGAAGAGGAAGCCAGTATGGCTCCAGCAGGCCAGTGAGAGGAAGGGAAGGAAGATATGAGATCAGAATGGTAACAGGGCTCTGGTCTTCATGTAGGGACATTCATTTACTGAATATTTTATCTAGTAGCAAAATCACATGCTATTTTTCCAAGGGGAGAGGCTCTCATACCTGGAGGGGGCGGGAGAAAGAGAATAGAGTGGCAAAAGCACAGGACAGCCCTTAAGCTCGCTTCGCTGTTCACCCGTTAGTGGTTCTGAGTGGTTCATCTGCTAGGTCTGTGAGCCGAAGACGACGGAGTATCCTCATGTTCTGCTGAGAATCCTGGTTTCATCCTTCCTGATCAACTAGGTGCGGTTCAATCCCGATAGTCCAAGCAGGATATACTATTTCCATCCTAAGGACCTCTTAGGACCCCCAACTCTTGTTGGTCCCTACTTGGTGTGTTTGTTAAGCAAGAATTGTGGGCGTGACGACCGTGGGCATCAAAAGTCTGAGCCCCGCCCCTGGAGGAACTCCGGTATTTCAGGACCTTCATCTTTAAGATCCGCCCCCTCAACTTTTTGAAAGGGCGGGGCAACGAGAGCACCTGTCACCTCCTTCTCTCCACCCCGTTGGTTCTCACGTGTGTCCGCCTGTTCAATAACAGCTCTTCTTCCGGGACTTTCTGGTCACTGCAACCAATCAGAGTGTTGTTTCCTTCCTTACCCATTGTCAGCCCGCTGCCAATCGGCGCACTTCTACAAACGCCCCTTAAAGGCGCCGCCAACGCCTCCCGAGCAGGGGCGAACCAAGTCCTGGGTTTCTGCCCTCATCTGCAGTATGGAGTCGTCCCTGGGGCGGCCTGGGCCCGAGGCGGACCTTCTAGCTCTGAGGGGACAGCAAGCCGCGATCTTTGGCAGCGGGCCGGGCCGAACGCCCTCTGAATCGCCCTCAGGCCTCCGGGTATCCGGGGAGGAAGAGGCCGAGAACGTTGGGGGCACGAGCCACCACCCCAGGGCGTCCCCGAAGACTTCGAGCTGCAGTGTAGTCCACCGGCCTGAACGGGAGGTCCCGGAGAACGTGCCTGGCCTCGCAGGGACGCTGTCTGGGGCGGGGAGACGCCGGGGGACGCCGGGTCCCGAACACGATCTGCACGGGTCCTCCCTGCACCAGGACCCTGAGCCGCCAGAGGACAAACCTGCATCCGAAAGGGTCTGCCGTCGAGGAAGCAGGGGAGGCAGCGAGATAGATGTTGAGCAGCAGGAGGAAGACGACGTGGAGGCAGCGGCGATCGGCAGGGCTGGCCGCTCGTTCTCCGGCCGCCTTCAGGACAGCCGTAGCCTGGACGGGCTGAGTGGGGCGTGCGGTGGCGCCGGGTCCGCAGGGGGTGCGGAGTCTGGCGCGGGCGTCGGGCGTCGCGCCACCATCTCCAGCCCCCTGGAGCTCGAGGGCACGGTGAGCCGCCATGGTGACCTCACCCACTTTGTCGCCAACAACCTGCAACTCAAGATCCGTCTGAGCGGAGCCCCTCAACCCCCGCCCCCTACCCAGCCCTGTTCAGCGTCCGCACTCATTCCAGCCATCCCCCCAATCGATCCCGAGGTGCTGCGGGACCTGGAGCGGCTGAGTCGGGAGCTGGGCGGCAGGGTGGACCGTCTGCTTCGCGGGTTGGGTGGCGCGGTGCAGGAACTGACAGCGCTGAGCGTGGGCTGTATCCAGACCTACCGCGACGCTGTGGACTCCCTAGGCGAAGCTGTGGACATGAGCATCAAGGGAATGTACACCCTGCTGGCGCGCTGCGAGGAGCTAGAGCGGGCTCTGCAGCCGGTGCAGGGGCTGGCGCGCCAAGTCCGGGATATCCGACGCACCCTGGAGGTGTTGGAGGCCCTGTGCAAGTGACCAGGAGGGTAGGAGAGGCCAGGCCCGTGCCAAGGCCCAGCAGAATCCTAAGGTCTCTTCAAGGAGCCCTGGTGGGAACTGCCCGCTGAGAGGAGGCCTATATATTGGAGACTCTTCCAGATGCATTTAGCAGGCCCATGACCACTCGATGGGCCTTATGCAGGTGTATATGGGGAAGTTCTAAAGGCTCTCCTGGTGGGAGGGTATGATGCTCTGCTTCAATTCAATTGGCCATCTATAGCTACCTTGTTCTCCCCAACTCTTCCCTAGCTACCGCACCATCCCTAAACTCAGGGCTTCAGGTCTAGGCTTGGTAGACATGACTGCCATATGTGATCAAGAAAGGAGAACAGAGGGGGCCCCAGCCCCCACTGTGGCCACCCTGACTCCAGTGGCCACATCTCAGGTGCCAGGGGCTGTGGGAGCTTGAGTGGTCCTTGGCCACACACCATGCAGACAAGGATGCACACCTGCAGATGGATAACCTCTTGCTTCTAACCCCCTGACCCCTACCATCCCACTTCTTCAGCCAGAACCAGGGTGGAGCTAGAAAGAATGCATTGCATGGTAGAGGGGGTGAGTTGGGAGGGGTCTCACTGTTCTCAGGTTTCAGTAGAATTTTTGCTGGTTTTGAAGCTTACCTGTTGTGGAGTGTTCTAATCAGTTTTGGCTTTCTCAGTTTTTGTGGAATTAAAGTGCTGCTGCTGCTAAGGCTGAGACTGTGTCTGTGTGGCGTTACAGGGATTGATGAACCAAAAGAATGGGAATAAGGGTTGGTCTTTTTCATGAAGCTCCCTTGGGGCTGGTGCTAGGGTGGGGTCACAGATAACATGGGGAAGGATATCATTCCTGTTCTTAGGCAGCAGGTCTGAGAAATGCAGGGCACATATTCGGGCTCAGAGATGCAGTAAAAGCAGAAACAAAGGAGGTGTTCCAGAAGAGAAAGGGAAGGGATCATCTTCTCAGATCCTGAAGTGGACAGGCAGGGACTGAGCAAATTGGACATCTTTGCTGTGAAGGAAGGCTGAAAACACTTGTTAGCTCCATTCCTGACCCCGTTTTCCACACTGCACTGATCAGTGCCATATGTATGGTTTGAGACAATCTTTGTTCCAACCCCTGGCAGCCTTTTGTTTATAGTCACATAGTAAGTTCCATCAGCCACCATGTTATGGTCAGGAGATTTAGAAACAGAGATCACAGAAAAAGTTCATTTGGTTGAACCTTCCTCCTCTACCTGAAAACACTAGCATTTTAGACTGAGTTTAAACACGTTTCTCTTTTGTGTGTGAAGAATTCTGGGGTTGGAAATGTTGCTAACTAAACTTTACCCAATGGCAAGAAATTAACAGTTATCAAAAGTGTGCCCACTGGCCCGTACGGGGATCGAACCCGCGACCTTGGCGTTATTAGCACCACGCTCTAACCAACTGAGCTAACCGGCCACTCGCTGCTTGGGGGCTCCATGTAAAAGTATTATGAAACTGTTTGGAATTCACATTACCTATTAGTCCTATCCTTGGAAAAAAATTTTAAATGGATACGTTTGCTTTGGGAGGCATGAACAGAATGCGAGAACTGAATCCCCAAGCATTTCGGGAAGTAACAGAATAATCAAGCTGTAATACTTATAAGCACATATGATGTGACTATGGCGTTTGGCGGCAGGCGGAAGTGCAAATCAGGTGCTCACGACTGACACATACACGTCGCGTTCATGAACAGAAACAGAAGTGGAAAAACATAGCCTGATATGGCTCCGGGAGAATCCGAGAGAACGGATGAACCTGTGCGGGATAAAATGGGGTCGAACGCCCAAAGTTTCAGCGACTACCCCTCGCAGCGTCTTTGCAAGGAGAGCGAAGACTCAAAGAGACACCATTGATACTCGAACCCAGAATCTACTTACTACTACTAGACAGGAGCCTTAATTAACTAAACCACGAAGCCTGGAGTTGGGAGGGTTCACATCTTGTTTCCCTAACGTGGTGAGCTCCATGGTCGATGAGTAAATGTGCGCGGATATTTTATTACCAACCTTTGTCTATACAGGAAAAGAGTAGACGTGACGAAAAACAAGGCTGCGGGTAAGAGAGGAGAAAGGGGTGAAGCGGAAATTGAATGTGGGCAGACAGAAGGTCACGGGAGAAATTATTTTTGGATTGCAAAAAAAGAAGGCAGAATCCGTAATCAGAAAGCCGACGAGGATGGGATTCGAACCCACGCGTGCATAGCACAATGGATTAGCAGTCCATCGCCTTAACCACTCGGCCACCTCGTCCACAGTAAAAGGTTTCCAGTTATGCCCTCTGGGGTCTGAACTCTTATTCCTCAGTAATAATGAGTTCATTTAAGTGTACAAGGGAGCTCACTTTTTAGGATCCTGCCCAGCCCTGTGAAGACAACTCTCACGGCGCTGACCTTCTCACCTACGCAAACGCCCGATCCTCTTCCCTCTGGGTTGAGCTATCCCGAGCGTGCGCCAGCTCTCAGGAACCCCGCAATAGACCCAGATCTATTGTACCAGCTCTGCCACAAAAACCACCGCGAGATTTTTGGGCTCTCCCGACGGGGTGGCAACGGGACTTCGAGCCAAAAGACCTTCCGGTTCCTACAAGATGCTTCTTCTCTTACCCGGGCTCTGGGAGATGGGGGTCGAACACAGCTGAAAATGAGGTGAACGAATAAAAGCAACCGAAGCCCACCGGGGGTTGAAAAGAATGACCATGACCCCGACGTGATTTGAACACGCAACCTTCTGATCTGGAGTCAGACGCGCTGCCGTTGCGCCACGAGGTCAGCCGGTCGAGCTCTTGGTCAGGTTCCTTCATAACCAGTTAGCGGCTTGACCTATTTGAATTTGCGGCTTGGTGCACGCGTTTTCCCGCTTGCCACCTATACGATAAGCAGCGTCCACTGCATACCCTCTGGGCAGTTGCTTTGCGTGCTCCGGGCTCAGTGGTTCTTCCAGCCCCGCCTCCGACGTCCTGTGGAGGACCAGGTAGCCCAGAGCTGGTCATTTGGGAGAGCCAGAGCTCACAGCCCAACAGGATCCGATGAAAGGACCGGATACCAGGCCGAACGTGATGGAGCCATGCCACAGCCCAAGGCGCCTGAAGCGGTGAGAGATTAGCTCCTCCAGCGGTGCGTCTTCTCCCCGGCAGCACTTCACAGTCGCCTGCGGAGCCTTCGGATAGCAACGATTTAGCCCCAGGTTCGGAGAGTCTAATTCAAAAGTCCAGGATAGAGCCCCGGCATCGGTAATTTTGTCACTTTTTACAATTTTGAGGAATAATTTAGATACTATGAAATGCACAGATCTTAAGTGTGTATTTTGATGAGTTCTGACAAACGCAGCCTACAACACTTTCAAGATGTAGGACATTTCCATCACCCGAGAAAGTTCTTTCTTGTCCCTTCCCTTCCTAGGGGCAACCAGTGTTCTGATTTTGATCACCATAAATATCAGTATTTTTTAAAGTTCCCCAAGTGAGACAGAGCTGAGAACCCCTAAAGAGAGATACCAGAGCTGGCAGAGACACCCCCCCCCCCCCCCCCCCCGCCATTTGCTTCTTGGAGGATGAGAGGAGTTTAACAGGCCAATATGGCGGAAGAGGTCGTGTTATAGTTCATTCCTTCCCTTCCGAGCCAAATGTGTAAACATTCTGCACAGTGGCTCTCCCGAAAGTTATCAAGGACCACAGAAATGTCAAAGCCGGGGGCCATTTCTCAGGCCTGATATTAATTGATTTAGAGCAACATCTTCTTTTAAGAGCTTTCTTCCCCTTTGGTCGTCATGACACTCATCTGCTGCCCTTCCCCCAGCTCTTACTCACCCACCCACCTCTTAGACTGTTTTTCTGTCTTTTTCTCAGAGTTCTGTCTTCTCTCCTCACACACCTTCCCTGCAGTCAAGCCATCACGTATGTGCTGAGGGCTCCTACCCCTGGATTCAGACATCCAGTGCCAGCTGGGCTGTTCCACTTGACTCTGTCAGCGTACCTCCCCAGTCCTTCTGCACTCCTGGTGAGTGGCCTTGACTCTTCCCTCTCCCTCACTACCATTTCCAGTCACCAAGTCCTGTCAATTCCAAGCCTTCATTCCCATAGCTATCCCCTCAGTCTCTCTCATTGGATTATTATAATAGATCTCTCTGCCTCCAGAATAATCCAAGAGAATCATCTTTTAAAAATGCATACATGATCCCATCACGCTGTGGCTTAAAATCAGGATTAAGTTCTAATTTATTGGCTGTGACCCCAAGGCCAAGCACCTCTTAAGCACTGGGGGTTCTAGAACCAGTTTGCCAGGGTTCATATGCAGGCTTTGCTACTTACTAGTTGTGTAGCTTGGGCTAGTTATTGAACCTCCCTGTGTCTCAATGCCCCCATCTGTAAAGATTATAATAGATCACTATTAGTTTATTTACTACAGATAAAGTGCTCAGAGCCTGGTTGGTGATAATCACACAATCATGTTGTTGTTGTTGTTGTTGTTATCTGGTCCTTGCCTGATTCTTCAGCCACTGACTGCTCATTTCCCTGTGACAACCATGCTGACTTATTGACAGTTGCCTAAACGTACCTCAGTCCCAACTGTGTCCGTGCCACTGTCCTTGGTAGTATTGCTTGATGGTCTTCCCAATCCTTCCTTACCTGCCTGATCCTTACATACCCCTCAAGACTCAATTCAGAAGCTCTCTTCTCCCCACTTCTTCACTCATCTGGGAGAAGAGGCCCTTCCTGTGTCTTTTCCAAGATAACACTTAAAATACTACCTTTTAATTGTTCTTTGGTTGTTTTCCCTCACTACAGTCTAAGTTACTCAAGGGTAGAAAATATGTATTCCTAGCACCCAGTACAATTCCTGGAATACAGTGTGTATTCAGTAAGCATTTGTGAAACTAACAAGGGATAGCTTTAGCAAAAGTATTATAGTGAGCAAGAGCCTGGCTTATATTGGGTTGTCAGAAAAGTCATGATGCATTTTTTCAATGAAAAACATAAAAAAAAAAAATGTCATGACTTTTCCTACAACCCAACAGAGGAAGGAGACATGTCTGGGTAGCTGAAGATCATGGGGTGAGGTGGAAAATTTTCCTAGAAAGGGAAGTTGGGTTAATGAATATGGTACCAGGGAATGTAGACTTGATCTCTAGGCTCGGAGAGGTTCTACAACAGGTGTGAAGAATGGTCAGTCCAGTGTCAGAGTACTCTCTGATGGTTAAATCTCCTCCATTCATCCCACCACTTTCTAAATTTTTAGAAACCAATAAATGATTCTGTCCAGAGTTGCATTGCTCAATATGGTAGCCACTAGGGTGATGGCTATTTAATATGGGGCTATTCAAATTACATTTAAATTTAAAAATTCAGTTCCTTAATCCCACTAGCCACATTTCAAGTGACTGATAGCCACATTAAGCTAGCTGGCTACCATACTGGACAGAGATAATATGAAATATTTTCATCATCATAGAAGTTCTGTTAGACAGTACTGATCCAAAGGCTGAAAGTTGGTGGCCTGACGCCTGTATGCTGTTGCCATCAGGGTTATTTTTTTCCTTCTCATTTTTTCATTTTTAAGTTGGATACAAACATTTATAATTGGAATAAGAATCTGGATTTCTGGTCTCTCTTAAAGCTGAGAAGCTGCTGCACCACTCTGCTCCCTTACACCCCTCAACTCCTACACACATTTTAGAATGGTCATGGGCTCTCCTGGGCTTTGTTTTGTTTTTTCTCCCTGACCTCAAGGAACTTCATTTATCTGTTGCATTCATTTTTTGTGTTCTAGTAGGAGAGACACAACAACTGAATAAAGTAACAAACTAAATGTTTACAGATTATAATGAGGACTAGTGAGAGGTAACAGACTGGTGAGGAAGAGCTCCAATTCTCAAGTCAGCCTGGGTTTGAAGCCTGGTGTCATCAAGTATAGGATCTGTGACCTGGGGCAGGTAAATATGTTGCTCTGTGGTTCAGTTTTCTTATCTGTGTCTCAATACCACTGAACTATATACTTTAAATGATTTATTTTATGTTGTGTAAATTTCACATAGAAAAGAAAAGAAACACACTAATGAGCCAACTTGAAGAGGTTCCCACTGGTCAAAACTGAGACAATTTGACCAGCCTAAGCGGCCCTCAAGCCACGGTGAGCGGCTGTCCAGAAGCCGTCGACTGATCTGCCTCTCCTGGGAAGAGCGCAATGATGGTGCCAACTTGGGCCAGTGAGGCAACGTCCTCCACAACTAGACTGAGGAACAAAAGGACAGCAACTTGTCTGTTCCCATCCCCCAATTCCCCAATAAAAATCTTTAAAAAAAAAAAATAGAAAGACTATTGGAACTAGTGCGGTATTTCTTCCAAGAAAGGTACATCCTAAAAAACAAAAAAACTGAGACAATTTGAGCATCAAAAAGAATAACTGCAATGGACTCAAACATACAAAAGATGATAAAAAACTACAAGTTTCAAAATGATACTAAAAACTACTAATTTGTCAC